GTCAGGTGGTGTTTTTTGAAAAAAGACAGCTATCACAGGGGATGATAGATTCAATTGCTAAGGAGTAGAGGATGTACCTCAGAGAATGCAATGAACAGCAGACTTAATTCAGCCACAGCAATGCCATTACTACATGGATAGGCCTCTCAAACTAGAGGCACCATTTTCACAATCCAATACATATTGACACTCATATTAGAAATATCAAGGGTGCTGTAAACAAGTCCTCAGTACGTCACATGCTTTAGAAAGTGCATAAGAAAGACTGGAAAGGAGGCTATTCTTTGAGGGTAGTCAGCTTTAAGCTAGTTTATTTTAAGTGCAAGCAACAGATTATGGTCAACAAAGGTAAGGATGTAGTTATCAAAAGGAGAACTATCAGTTTAGCTACCCACCTTTGACACAAACAGACTAACATTTCCTGTTGAGCCTAAAAGCAACCATATGCTGGCACTTCCTAAACTGCTACCTGTACAGTGTACATGATACTTGTACTTCAAATGCATCTTTGCATTTTGTAAAGCTTATGTGTATCAGCATGCTTTGCACTAATAACAATATTTACTGAATAAAGTCACAGTGTCTTAAAGGAAAAAATCACAGAACTACAGAATATTCTGAGTTGGAAGGGATCCACAAGGATCATCGAGTACAACTCTAAAACTCTAAAATTCTAAGAAAAAGCTAATCAAAAAACTGGTATAGTGTGAACCTGAGTAGATGAAGAAAGTGCTACTTTTTGACTTGACATTGGTGTTGGACATGTTTTTTTAATCATTGAAATGCATTTTTCATCTGTTTGCTCCTGTCCTTTCAACCAAGCTTAATGATACCAGTTCCTATACCAAATATGACTAATGTTTTATGTAATGGGAGACAGGAATATTGCAATGGCATTTAGAAAGGGCATGGCTAAGCTTGGTCAGGCTCCTGTGGTGGATATTTAAAGGTTCTATAAACCATGAGTTTTCTGACTTCTTCATTCACTGAGACAACATGAAAAAAATCTCCACTCTCAAGCAATCAATATATATGAGAACAATTATCATAATGTCATGAGCAGAAGCCTGTAGAGCTCAGCTGAAAGCTGTTATCAGGCTTCTGGAACTGGACCACAGGCAGTTCCATGTCTACCACCATCCCATTTTGCATTGCTTCATTAGTCATTTATTTTCTGCACTGAAGATGCACAGTACTATCACGAAGAAGCAGAAGATTTGATCCAGACTTACTTCATATAAAGTCTACTCTATGCTTATCTTTTATCATTCAAAATTGTTAAATATTATGCAAAAATGATATAACATACACTTCCAACTTCCAATTCGACTTCCACGTGTCCTTTTTTTCAGGGAAACAATGAAGGAAAGAGGTTCATTCTAGCATTGTTCCAGTCATTACAAACATGGGAGTAATAAGGCATGGTATACATGTATCCTAGTAATTGTTAGGTGCTAGCCATTCCCTTCTGTTCTCAATCCACAAGTCTGGTAACGTCACATTTCTCAGTGTGGGAGTATGAATCTTCAGCTCAAGCTGTTGAAACACCTCCTTACGGTATCTGGTAGATGCACTGAGCCAGTGCATTTCAGATGAGCCTCAAATCCTTAGGATGTGCTTCTGTAGTCTAGGATTCTGAAATCCCTGGGGTCAAAGCTTTTGGAAATGTTCCCCTAGCACCCAAATTGCAGTCACATATTCATCCTAAAGCTCCATTTAACAGGCATGGAGTCCATTCTCAGCTGGTGGAAGTTGGCTCTGCTGCACTAAAGCCAGAGAAGCCAGGGGTGATTCACACCAACTGAAGAAGTGGCCTGAAGTCTTAATAGTCACCAGAAACTGCTTTTAAAAGCTGTTCTTCACTATGATGGAAAGTATAAGGCAGACAAAGTACTAAAAGCTTTTATGTTCAGAATTTCTTTGACAATGTACTTTTCTGAGGACTAAGATGACTGTTACTCCAGAAATGAACATCAAACCACACAGTGCAATTCTGGACTTGTCAGTTTAACACCTTTAAAGAGAAAAAACATAGTGTGGCTCAGGCAATACTTTCAAAAGCACAGTTTAGTCAGTGAAAGATAATATAGGTTGTATAGCACGAAAAGTGTGCTTTAACTAAAGTATAAGGAATCTGTAAGAGTTAAACTCAGTGCAGACAAGCAACATGGAGTGGATGATATATAAAAAGAGTATTTGATTAAGCAGCTTACTGAGTGTTGGCCAGTGAAGTACAGAAAAAACTTGGTTACTTTTGTGGTACAGAAGGAACCGTGATTAAAATGGCTTGAGGAAGAGAGTGTTATCACAAATAAAGAATGGTTCTAACTAAGAACATTTTAAACACTAATTAAATTGTCACTTAATGACTTTGAGTTTGGTCTGGTTGTCCTACAATTACATTATCATGGACTAAAGCATGACTTGGATTATCTGCCTGTGCAAATGAGGAAGAAGAATAAAAAACAAACAAAATCTTTCCTTGAAAATCTGTATTGGCTGTCAGGAGATTTGGCTTGGGCACACAGGAATAGGAGACTACACATGCTTATTGGGTTTAAAGAACTAGCAGAGAAGGAATAAACACACCTTTGCTTTTAATATATCTGCCTTCTGAGACTCCCCCAACATATATGTTGTCCAGAGTGGCTCAGACAGAGAAAGATATGAGTGAAACAGCAATTATTTCCTTCAGAAACTAGGAGGAAGTAGTGGAAGAATTCTGACTTTGAGGGGTGCTTCTGCATCAAATCTGCCAGGGTTAGGTCTGGCTGAAGAGGCTCACATAAAAATCTCTTTTCTTAGGATGGTATCCTAGATCTGTAGCAAACACTCTCCCAAGAGCAAAAGCAAAGTCTGTCTCAGAGCTTCTCCCTGATCCAGCTCTGTTTAGCTCATTAAAGTTTCAGGGGTTTGGGGGTCCTTTTACTCTTCTTAAGTACAGCTCTAGGCACCTGAATTTCTATGTCTTCCCATTTCTGGCCCACTGTCTTTCATGAGTGTTTTGCTTAGAGATATTGCCTCTCTTTTCTGTGCCCCCTGTTGCCCCTGCCTTTTAGTTTTCTGAATCCTCCTTAGCCACAGTGTTGCATTCAGTGTCAATTATTTCAATTCAGTGAACGCATCAAACAAGCTCCAGTTTCATCTTCCTTGAGAAATTCACAGCTCCAATCTCTCCTAGATTACTGAGGCAAACAATGAATTCAATCAAGAAATTATAGTAAAGGGTGCTGATTCTGTCAATAACGTAATTTCCTACTTCTCAGAGGCTGCACTGTTTCACTCAGTGACCTCTTGTTCCACATACTTAAAAAAAAAACATTCCACTTCTTATGATCACTTGTCAATCTCCCACACACTATTTATCTTCTGCTTTTCTTTCTAAAAAAAAAGTTTTTATAACTACAGGTGAGTTGCAATTGTGAGGAGACTAAAATCATGGGCAGGATTATGGGATCATGCATGGCCTGGTAGGTATGTATTAATACAAGAATAAACACAGGCAATCTATGTGAAGGACTGCAGACATTCAGTTATTTTTGTTTTCAGTGGAAGACTTATGTGATATGCTGGCATGTGGTATCCCTATAAACCATTTGGAACAGTAAGTTAAGACGATATAAATTAAATCCTTATGACACTTTTTTTAACATAATTGCATTTTAGATATTACCCACCATACATTTCTGGGTTATTCTACTGTTATGTGGTTGTGCCACATTTCTCCCTATCAGCATTAAAATGGCAGAAAGGAAAAAGCAAAACTGTAGTAGAAAGAAGGTAACTATATGAGGTGGTCATCTCTCAGCAGAACAAAAGATAATATTTTGTGGTGTAACAGCAAACAGAATTGACATCAACAAGTTCAGTTGTGTGTAATGTAAGCTTTCAGGTTTCAGGACAAATCCATGAAACTTATCTCTGTCTCATGTTTTTGCGGGGCTGGGAACAGCAGTGAGCAGACCCAGCCTTTCTATTTGCAATTCTGGCAAGTGGAGAACCATGAAACAAACCTATTCTGCCAAAATCTTGTATCCATATCCATATTCTGTTAGGCTATTCTTTTGAAGCTTTTCACAGACTAGAGATGCTTTGCAAGGACTGAAACAAAAATTCGCAAAAATTAGTGGGATTCCCGCAAACATACAAAGGAATATAGAAATATGGATGACCCAACCACAACTTGTGCAACTCTTTTTCTAGTTAGTCTGTTTAATTCAAACCAATATATTTCTGTGAAGCAAAACCACTACTATGGTGAATAATTTTCTGATAGTGTAGGGATATTTAAATGGACTCATCTGTTCCAAATGGAGGCTTCACCATCTGTTCTGTCCTTTTATTACAAATAGAGAAGGAATTTAACTCACTGCATCAGCATGTAAAGCCTACCACAGAAACGATTTAGATGTATGTGTGTGTTCTTTATGCACCTGGTATGTTTTCACACACACCAAACACAAATCAGTGGGAAGACCTGTCTTTTGTAACCTAATAAATTCTCTGATCTAGCGCCTTTATTCCTTTCTCATGGCAGCAGAAATTGATTGCCAGTAGCTTGCATTTTATTAGGACAATTATGACCCTGTTGCCGTCCTGCAGGAGTTATATCTTTATTGGGCTGACATTTTGTGATACCATTTACCTCTCTACAGAAAACAAGCCTCAATTCCTATTCATTCCCACTTGCTGGGCCTACATACGTGTCATCACGGACAGAAATCTCGAAGGAGATGTGCTGAGGATCTGTCAGATTGCTGAAAAGCTCTGTTTTTCCTCAAAGGACACTACACAATCTTTTCTAACACCATTTAAAGAAGACAGGAAACTCCAAAATGCATGACACTGCATAATTTTTGCTGTTTTAAAAGACAAATTTAGCCATAGCTTAGGGAGGGAGGTGTAAATTACCACATCTTTCTCTCTATATACTCTCATACCAGGAAACAGATTGCATGTTCAATGCAAACGCTAATTTGAAGAAAACCCTCAGGTCCTACCTGTGTTGTAGCCCCTCCCAAGTGCTGGCCAGGGCCGATGATTCTTCCAAAGGTTGCCCAAATACCAATCACTCTGGTTCTCTACTAAGCCAAGAACTTGCTGCCCTGGAAATGAGCAAATTGCAAACAGATTAGGAGACAGAAGACAGTCAATCAATGGAAAACAAAAGAGAAATCCGGAAGGTCATGTGCTGGCTCCTTCCATACACTGGGAAGGAGCCTGCTTATGTAACAGACAGCAAGCCTAGCACAGCTCATTTCTTCCTTCTCCCCTGGCTAGTCTGGGTAAATAAACACTGTGGGAACTCTTGTCATGCTGACAGAAATATATCACCCAGAGAAATCTGAATGCTGCTTGATTTTGGAATACAATGATGGAGAATCCTCCTAGTGAGAAGTAAGTGTTGGTAAAATGATCATCTAATATGAAGATCTGTTCATACTCTGATGGAGATAATGTAATTGAAGAACAAGGCTCAGTATAACAAATTATTCTCTTCCCATGCTCCCTGCTACTAGTTTCAGGGATTTTTTTCTCAGTCACAAAGGAAATCCCTTTTGCTCAGAAAAATATTTGATTCTATGAGTTTACCTACATAACAATGTTGCGCTGTTTTAATTTAAGAGAGCAATTTAAAAGTCATTTAGGTAAGCCTGTGTAGAATGTTGCATAGAAATTATGATTTCAGTTTTATTTCAGTTTATCTTACATTGATTAGCAGCTGGCTGCAGCTAGAGTAAAATGTGTTTTAAATCAAATGTGTCTAGAAGGTTTGCACTGCTTAAAAATCAACTGAAAAGTGAATGTTTGTATAGATAAGGACTTAATTATCTATCCTGAAATGTGCTGTATAAAATTTAAATAAGAGAAGTGATTGAAATGATGCTCTGGTGACAGAGGATGGAGGGAAAACTGCATTTGGAGCCAGTCAGAGAAAGGAAAGTGAATGGTGTTTTGACAGAGGGACATGCTCAGTGAGGGCACTGAGACTGGTACTGGAAATTATTTTGCAACCTTTTGAGAAAGCACGCTTTGAAGGCCATTTTAAAATCCCAGCTATGCTCATAAAATTGGGTGTATGGTCACAGCAGGGCACTGAAAGCATTAAATGATCATTATATGCTGCTTACGTAAGACCACAGCTGTATTACTAAAATTTCAGTATGGCCCACGACAAGACTGGGCTGAGAAGCAAGACATAAAGACAAAAGTGATTAATTCAATTTTATAGTTGGCTTGAAAACTGATTGTGATACTTCCCTGTGGCATTTGTAATTCAGGTGAATGTCAGAAACCCCCACATGTATATCAAATGTTGTTTCAAAGAGGGTGAGCAGCAGAGACTGGCCAATGCATATAACAAATAAACCAGAACACTATGAAAGCATTCAAGGAGTGAATGGAAATCAATCTAAAAATAACCTTGAGAGATTACCAAGTCTACTCCACACTACTTCAGGATCATCCTACTCTACCCTAATGACAACATGGCACTCCTCTAACTTTCTAATGTTGTCTCCTCTTTGCTATTATATATTATATATTATATATTATATATTATATATTATATATTATATATTATATATTATATATTATATATTATATATTATATATTTAATTTTTCACATTATACTCCATAAGTCATTTTTCAAGAAGGTGGAAAATCTGGGGGAGAGCAAAAGGATCATATAAAAGACCATCAAAGATTTATCTTCCCATGGGTGCTACTGAAAACTGGTAATATTAACAGAGTGCAATGCACAAGCAAATGAAGGAAATTACAAGTTAGAGGCAAATGTATCCCTAAGCAACTGATGCTTTGTTCATACAAATAAACTATAGCATCTCTCAACCTGTGTCACACATGGAACACACTAGAGAGCATGAGACACCACAAGCTATATTGTGAGGAAATATGAAAGGGATCTCAACTGGTTGAAAGAAGTCTTAGGCAAAAAGATGTCGAAGGACAAAATTTAAACCAACACTTGTTGACTCCATCCTGGAAGTCTGCCTGTTCTTTACAACCACTCCTACAGCTGAGGTAGAATAAATCAAAATAAGAAACTGCCATGGCTAGTAAAGGATGAGAAGAAAGAAAAAAACAATAAAAAAATGCAGGTGCAGCTGGGCTGGAATGGATTGGCACAGCTGGTAGGAAGTGAGTGTCCCTGCTCATAATCTAACAGCACATTTCACAACTCAGCAGTCCACAGATCCTTCTCAGGATAGTATGCTAACATCAAAAGAAATGTCAGAATTCCATTTGCAAGAAGTAGATACTGAACTTCCTTACCATGGAACATCAGTCCGCTTTAATTATTTTAGCCCCATGAATTGCCCATCGTGCCACAGAGTTCAGGCTTTAAGTTGATGAATAATAAAAAAAGAACAAACCTTGCTACTTGTTAATGGTTTTCCTTTCCCACCTATCAGTGCAAAATCTCAGTTCTAATAATGTACCTCCAAACGCTTATTTCTCAGTTATTATTTCTCATGCAAAGATAAACTCAAAAGGCTCAGGAAATTATGTTTGCCTGTATTTACTGTAGCTGTATAATTTCCTTCCCCTTTTCCCCTTTATTTTTGAAGACACCATAACAAATCATGCTTTCACCAGTGTTCCTTGACGTTTGATACGGGACATGGATGAAGGCAGAAATTAACATCATGTAAGCTTTAGGGCTTAGATACATGGATCAGATAATGTGACTTACTGTGTATCAACTGAGCTGGAATAACTGCCTGTACAGGTCCTTTTAGCTTGTCACAAATACAAAGGAATATGTGTTAGCTAACATGCTTTAGTTTGCCTTTGCAATGGCCTGGGAATATGTACATGTTCATGTACTGTCCTAGGGTACAGCATTATGCAACTTGTCAGGCTGTTGTAACTCTTACTGGTGCATAAAAGCCTACTAGGCAGATGTGATGACTTGTCTCCCAAGCCACCTTGGAGAAAATTATGGAGATATGCTTTGTGTCTTCTCTAATTTTATTTCTGTTTTCTCTAGGCTGGAATAGCATTGCTGTCTCTGCCAAAGAAGAATATATTTTTGTTACCCTTTATATTGTCTCTATGATCTTGACTTAAATCGGAAGTAATCGGGAAACCAGAACTTCAGCTGCATAGAAACATATTAATGTTTCCAAAAAATGTTTTCATTCTGAATCAGTACAGAAAAAAGAAAATCAGAAATATTTTCTGGATGAAATTCCCCAAATATTTTGATCTGAAGATACCAAAATAAAAAATGCACAACCCTCATCACTTTAAATCATATAAAACAATGTGACACATAATACAGATGCATAATATATACCACATAGAACACATTATTTTATGTATCTAAAAGTTCAAACAAAATAAAATCACAAGATTTGTCCCTCCATTTGTGACCAACTAAAAATGCTTCACTCAAAGCTTTAATTAATTTTTTTCAATACTAATGAATCACTGTGAGAATATCTATCCAGTGTATCTGACCCCTAGCAGTTAGTTCATTTAGTTATTTACTTTTTCTAATGCATTAGGAAGTTATAGAAAGAAGGCTAAAGTGATGCATGGTGTCAAGGAGGCACAGGGAACGCTCGCCTTGCCCACAGCTTTCTGACCATCCACCAGCCCCAACCTGTCCCTCTGCCACCTTTCACACCTTCCCCGCAAAGTGTCTGCAGTTCTGTGGAAACTATCACCAGGTTCATTTCCCCTCTGATCATACCACAGTCTGAATTCAGATTTTCTGGGGAAAAAGACTAGAGTTCCTTCCCACCACGAACTTTTGGAAAAAGCAGGCATAAAAGAGTCTTGTAAGTTATTTTTCCAGCAGATGAGAACACAGTGGCTACCATAATGAATTTGAACTGTTCAGCATTTTGAGCTGCTGGTTTCTTCTTCCTAAGAGTTATTATAATAAAATACCATAACTAACAGCAAAAGCTCTATCATTTTCTGTTCTGGCCCTGCAGCTATGATTAAGTGCACTCCTCTCACTCTGTTACTTCAGGCACAAGTTAGCTTATGAAAATTAAGCTGTCTTTCTTACTTCTTCATACATCACCACTAACAGCCAGACAACAGAAAACAAGGCTATGATTCTGGCATGACCACGGCGAAAAATTATTGAACAGGCAGAATTACAGCTGAATTGCCAGGAATGGGGCTGTATGCTGCCTGGCTGTGGCACGAGACTTCTCCAGAAGGCAGCTGCAGCTACAGCATTTTGCACAGAACAGCTCCCTGACAGCTCTTGCACGATGAGAGGTGCTTCTCTCCCTGCAAAAGCTTGGCTGTTGCTTGGAGGAGGTTTCCATGGAAAAACAAATACTTCTGAACCTGATAACTCAATGCCTTCAATTCTGTTTTTACTTCACAGACTTTTGGTGGATAATGAGGGGGAAAGTATTACACTGTAATTCAGGCATTGAAGGGGACTCCAGCTCCCAGTTGCAATACTGATTTCTTGGGTGACATTGAGCAGGTCACAGAACAGACTCTTGCTCAATTCTCCCTTAATAAAATTTTACCCCTCTTCCATTTTGCCTGTCTCATGTATTGGAAATGTAAGTCCTCTGAGTTAGTAAGTGTGGGCTAGTTTCTATTGAAAGCATAAGAGCAGCAGCATGTGGCCAGGTTGAAGCTCCACCGAGCACAGGAGTAGCAGCTGTGCAACATGGAGCACAACAGTGCAGCTGTATGGTGGCACTTCTTAGGTGGTCCTCTGGCTTCCAGTGACACATGACACATCTGAAGAAGCATCAGGTTTTATTTATGTTGAGTCTGGTACCTGCTAGTTTCCTCTGGTTCCAATCTTGGTGCCTGTGAACAATGTGTTCCTATTCTGCCCTGATTTTTTCCCAGTTTTAGAGTATATTATCTTCTCTAGTCTGTGGTACAAAGGTCTTTAACCTCAGCTCTTGCCTTGATGTACTTTGCTACTACAAACAATAAAAATAGGAGTAAAAAATTTATAGTTATTACAACTACTTTCAACTTCTTAGGCGGAAGCCTTTTTTTTTGTTTGTTTGTTTGGTTTGGTTTTTTGTGTTTGTTTTTGTTTTGCTTGTTTGTTGTTTTGTTTTGTTTTTTGTTTTTTAAACCTAT